GACACTTTTCCTGGTATACTCGGTAAACTAATTCCACTATAAATTTTAGTCTCTTTTGTCCCCTTTCCCTTTATATAAAAGGATTATATGTGGTCTCTGCCAGTCCCTAGGTGCCTTCCCCATTTCATACATCTATTATACAAAAATACCAACCATTCCAACACTATTATCTCCCCCTTGTTTATATTATTTTGATATTCTCAAAACCTGTAGTTCAGGTACTGGAACTTAGTTTTCCATGTTTGCAATCATTTACTGCTCATTTTTTTCTATGAAGGATCACAGCATACTTGACATTATAATTTCTCTGATTCTTGTTTTGTTAAATCCCTATGTACAGCGTGAAGGACCAGTGCGAGAGTGGGATTTGGCTAAAATAGGAGAGCGCTCACCAGGAGAGAGGGAAAGGGAGCGTGAGAGATTACGAAGGGAAAGAGAAGAGGAAAGGTTGCGAGAACGTAACAAAAGTCACAGCCCCACTGGACATGAAGGTATGTTTTACAATGTTTATATTTATTTATTTTTTTAATAGCTCTCAGTTATATGTTTAGTAGTACATCGGTACCTCAGTATACGTCCACTTTGGAATATGTCCTGTTTGGACATGAAAATTTTTGCTTGGTATACAACCTTTGTTTGGAATACGACTCAAATGCTAGAACTTGTATGGGTCAAAATGATAAAGATGGCACCAATGATTTTGTTAGAGTTTGGAAAATTTTTGTGGAGGCTGAGGGTTTTGTTCCCCAACAAGTTTTTAATTGTGACGAAGAAAATGCCTACAGGATCTGTATTACTCGAGGAGACAGCATTACCAGGACACAAGCCAATGAAGGATAGGTTAAACTCTCTTGTTCTGTGTCAATGCAAGTAGGGATTGCAAACTGAAGCCTCTACTGATCTACCACTCTGAAAAACCCAAGGGCCTTTAGAAAACATAACATGCAGAAAACTCAGTTACCTATGATGTGGAGGTCAAACAGCAAGGCTTGGGTAACCAGAGAATATTTCATCGAATGGTTTAATGTTATGTTTGGGCCAAGTGTAAAAAGTTATTTAGAGGAGAAAAACCTGCCATTGAATGCCCTCCTCATAATGGACAATGCTCCAGCTCACCCTCCAAGCTTGCAGGACTCTGTGCTGACAGAGTTTGACTTCATCACTTCAGCCCATGGATCGGCAGGTCGTCAGTAATGTCAAGAAACTCCACTGAAGCACTATTCCAGAGGTGCTTTGAAGTGACCTCTAACACAGAGTTAACCGTGAGAGAGTTTTGGAAAGGTCACTTAACTATTGCCCATTTCATAACTCTCATTGACGAATCCTGGCAGGAAGTTTCGTACAGAACATTGAACTCTGCTTGGAGGAATTTGTGGCCAGAAGCAGTGGCTGAAAGGGACTTTGAGGGCTTTGAGGCTGTAGTGGAAGATATTCTCTCTGGGCAGATCCATGGGTCTGGATGTGAGTGATGTGGAGGAGTTAGTGGTGGGGCACAGGGAAAAGCTGACCACTGAGGAGCTGCAGGAACTTGAGGAGGGAGAGCACAAGACTAAGATGGATGCACTCTCTTCAGGCTCGGAAGAGGAGGTAGAGGAAGCCCCTACTTTATTAACCCTTTGACTGTCGCGGCCGTATATATACGTTTGCGAGGTACCGTGTTTGACGTATATATACTCATAAATTCTAGCGGCTTCAAATCAGGCAGGAGAAAGCTAGTAGGCCCACATGTGAGAGAATGGGTCTGTGTGGTCAGTGTGCACCACATAAAAAAAATCCTGGAGCACGCAGTGCATAATGAGAAAAAAAAAACTCCGACCGTTTTTTTTAATTAAAATGCCGACTTTGTGGTCTTTTTTCGTATAGTATTTGTGGTTGTATTCTCGTTTTCTTGGTCTCATTTGATAGAATGGAAACTATATTATAGAAATGGAGGTGATTTTGATTAATTTTACTATAAAAAGAACCCGGAAATGGAGCACAAAGTACAGGAAATGTTTGATTTTTGCCGATGTTCAAAAGTGAACAAATGATGTCATTGTCCAATAAATGTCCAAATAGCCATTCTAATACGCAGTCATGAATGGGTTGATGTAATTTTTACAATTATTACAGTATTGCAGTAGTCTGCATAACAGTAAAACTTCTATTTTTTGTTTGAATAAAATTTCAAAATAAAAAGCAAGAGTAATATCACAGGGATCTGGAGACATGACTGATGAACAAAGAAAATGTTATTTTAGAGCCAGGAATGTCTGCATTGTTCATTCTGGACCTTATTTTGAAATTGTCCTATTTTTTAATTTTCGTGAAATTGGACAAATTGCAAATTTCTGACCATGTTATTGGGTAGTTGAAATCGGTAAATGGGCAGTTTCTTGTACTCAATCGATAGAAAAAATAGAGTTCTGTAGAAATAGTTATGAGTTTGGTTGACTAGAATAATGGAATTAGCCGAAAATAGGGCTCAAAGTGGGCGAAATTGCCGATTTTTAAATATCACCGAAGTCGCTAACTTCGCGAGAGCGTAATTCCGTCAGTTTTCCATCAAATTTCGTTTTTTTGGTGTCTTTACAATCGGGAAAAGATTCTCTATCATTTCATAAGAAAAAATAATTTTTTTTTTTTTCGAATATTTTGCGACACCAGAAGCAACTTCAGGATTTGGCCCTTCGACAGTCAAAGGGTTAATCAAGGAAATCTTTGCCAAATGGATGGACGTCAAAAACTTTGCTGAGAAGTACCATTCCAACAAAGCCCAAACAAGCCGTAATAGCATTTTTTGGAATGACCAGACAATGTCACATTTCCAAAACATTGTGAGGGGAAGGCAGAAGCAAAGTTCTTTGGACAGATTTTTAGTAAGTCAAAACTGGTGAGCTTCAACCAGGTGCAAATAGGGAAAAGAGAAGGGGACTCTCCTTCCACACAATAACATTTCTTTGTCCTCCCTTCTCAGCACTATCCTAGTAGGCACTTAACTCTTTTCAGCAAAGTAAAGCGAGGTTAAATTCATTTATTTCATCTAATTCTTTTGTATTTATGTATGTATTTTAGTATTAAACAGTGTTTAAATTACATAGTATTAAGCAGTTTAAATTATTTTATACAACCCCATCAATTTGTAATATGCCAATAACAATAGGATTTTTTTCATGGGAACGGATTACAGTGGAACCTCTACTTATGAGTTTAATCCATTCCATGACTTGCTCGCAACTGGATTTGCTCGTCAGCAGAGTAAATTTTCCTCATTTAAATTAATTGAAATGTAGTACCTTCCAGTGGAATTTCATGCACAAGAAAATACTTTAATAATTTCCCTAATATCAACTCTACAGCTTATTTATCTATCACGATTCATGTAATATGACATAAACAATATTAATAACATAGAAACATGATATATACACTAGCATGAATAAAATACATGTCATTAGGTATGTGGCTAGGGGTAGTGACAGCAGCCATTGTTGTTGGGGTTTATAGGGCCACCACAGCGACCATTCCTGCTCCTGACTACATGTGTAGAGAACCTAGGATAACCCAAAAAAGTCAGAGTAACTTATAAGTGCTACACTCTTAATACTTCACTTAATTGCTACACTCTTAATGCTACACTCTTAATGATACACTAAATTGCTACACTCTTAATGCTACACTTTGCCACTGCTGCTTCATGTTGTCTGCCACTGCTGCTTCATGTTGTCTGCCACTGCTACCTCATGTTGTCTGCCACTGCTGCCCAATGATGTCTACCACTGATGTCGCCAAAGAATCGAACATTTCTGCTATTTTGAGCTCAATTTCAAGAGGATAAATAAGTATACAAGATATGATGTAGGGCGAAATGACAGTAGTTTGTTGGATTATGTGTTGGTAGATAAAAGACTGTTGAGTAGACTTCAGGATGTACATGTTTATAGAGGGGCCACAGATATATCAGATCACTTTCTAGTTGTAGCTACACTGAGAGTAAAAGGTAGATGGGATACAAGGAGAATAGAAGCATCAGGGAAGAGAGAGGTGAAGGTTTATAAACTAAAAGAGGAGGCAGTTAGGGCAAGATATAAACAGCTATTGGAGGATAGATGGGCTAATGAGAGCATAGGCAATGGGGTCGAAGAGGTATGGGGTAGGTTTAAAAATGTAGTGTTAGTGTTCAGCAGAAGTTTGTGGTTACAGGAAAGTGGGTGCGGGAGGGAAGAGGAGCGATTGGTGGAATGATGATGTAAAGAGAGTAGTAAGGGAGAAAAAGTTAGCATATAAGAAGTTTTTACAAAGTAGAAGTGATGCAAGGAGGGAAGAGTATATGGAAAAAAAGAGAGGTTAAGAGAGTGGTGAAGCAATGTAAAAAGAGAGCAAATGAGAGAGTGGGTGAGATGTTATCAACAAATTTTGTTGAAAATAAGAAAAAGTTTTGGAGTGAGATTAACAAGTTAAGGAAGCTAGAGAACAAATGGATTTGTCAGTAAAAAATAGGAGAGGAGAGTTATTAAATGGAGAGTTAGAGGTATTGGGAAGATGGAGGGAATATTTTGAGGAATTGTTAAATGTTGATGAAGATAGGGAAGCTGTGATTTCGTGTATAGGGCAAGGAGGAATAACATCTTGTAGGAGTGAGGAAGAGCCAGTTGTGAGTGTGGGGGAAGTTCGTGAGGCAGTAGGTAAAATGAAAGGGGGTAAGGCAGCTGGGATTGATGGGATAAAGATAGAAATGTTAAAAGCAGGTGGGGATATAGTTTTGGAGTGGTTGGTGCAATTATTTAATGAATGTATGGAAGAGGGTAAGGTACCTAGGGATTGGCAGAGAACATGCCTAGTTCCTTCGTATAAAGGCAAAGGGGACAAAAGAGAGTGCAAAAATTATAGGGGGATAAGTCTGTCGAGTATGACTTAAGAAATCGTAATGACACGATTGCAAACAAACCATACCCCCGGCCGGGATTGAACCCGCGGTCATAGTCTCAAAACTCCAGCCCGTCGCGTTAGCCACTAGACCAGCTAGCCACAATATACCTAGTTGGATGAATCTTATTGTGGCTAGCTGGTCTAGTGGCTAACGCGACGGGCTGGAGTTTTGAGACTATGACTGCGGGTTCAATCCCGGCCGGGGGTATGGTTTGTTTGCAATCGTGTCATTACGATTTCTTAAGTCATGTTGACGGCAGTGAAGGGACTTGAGCTAGAGTTCGTCACGGCCACGCTAGCTGGAGATTTGTCTGTAAAAACTTGCATTTGTGGTCACAGAGGTGCCTGTGCTAACCTTCCTATGGTGTAGAAATATACCTAGTTGGATGAATCTTATTGTGGCTAGCTGGTCTAGTGGCTAACGCGACAGGCTGGAGTTTTGAGACTATGACCGCGGGTTCAATCCCGGCCGGGGGTATGGTTTGTTGAGTATACCTGGTAAAGTGTATGGTAGAGTTATTATTGAAAGAATTAAGAGTAAGATGGAGAATAGGATAGCAGATGAACAAGGAGGCTTTAGGAAAGGTAGGGGGTGTGTGGACCAGGTGTTTACAGTGAAACATGTAAGTGAACAGTATTTAGATAAGGCTAAAGAGGTCTTTGTGGCATTTATGGATTTGGAAAAGGCGTATGACAGGGTGGATAGGGGGGCAATGTGGCAGATGTTGCAGGTGTATGGTGTAGGAGGTAGGTTACTGAAAGCAGTGAAGAGTTTTTACGAGGATAGTGAGGCTCAAGTTAGACTATGTAGGAAAGAGAGAAATTATTTCCCAGTAAAAGTAGGCCTTAGACAAGGATGTGTGATGTCACCGTGGTTGTTTAATATATTTATAGATAGGGCTGTAAGAGAAGTAAATGCGAGGGTCTTGGCAAGAGGCGTGGAGTTAAAAGATAAAGAATCACACACAAAGTGGGAGTTGTCACAGTTGCTCTTTGCTGATGACACTGTGCTCTTGGGAGATTCTGAAGAGAAGTTGCAGAGATTGGTGGATGAATTTGGTAGGGTGTGCAAAAGAAGAAAATTAAAGGTGAATACAGGAAAGAGTAAGGTTATGGGGATAACAAAAAGATTAGGTGATGAAAGATTGGATATCAGATTGGAGGGAGAGAGTATGGAGGAGGTGAATGTATTCAGATATTTGGGAGTGGACGTGTCAGCGGATGGGTCTATGAAAGATGAGGTGAATCATAAAATTGACGAGGGGAAAAGGGTGAGAGGTGCACTTAGGAGTCTGTGGAGACAAAGAACTTTGTCCTTGGAGGCAAAGAGGAGAATGTATGAGAGTATAGTTTTACCAATGCTCTTATATGGGTGTGAAGCATGGGTGATGAATGTTGCAGCGAGGAGAAAGCTGGAGGCAGTGGAGATGTCATGTCTGAGGGCAATGTGTGGTGTGAATATAGTGCAGAGAATTCATAGTTTGGAAGTTAGGAGGAGGTGCGGGATTACCAAAACTGTTGTCCAGAGGGCGGAGGAAGGGTTGTTGAGGTGGTTCGGACATGTAGAGAGAATGGAGCGAAACAGTGACTTCAAGAGTGTATCAGTCTGTAGTGGAAGGAAGGCGGGGTAGGGATCAGCCTAGGAAAGGTTGGAGGGAGGGGGTAAAGGAGGTTTTGTGTGCGAGGGGCTTGGACTTCCAGCAGGCATGCGTGAGCGTGTTTGATAGGAGTGAATGGAGACATATGTTTTTTAATACTTGACGTGCTGTTGGAGTGTGAGCAAAGTAACATTTATGAAGGGGTTCAGGGAAACCGGCAGGCTGTATTTGAGTCGTGGAGATGGGAAGTACAGTGCCTGCACTCTGAAGGAGGGGTGTTAATGTTGCAGTTTAAAAACTAGTGTAAAGCACCCTTCTGGCAAGACAGTGATGGAGTGAATGATGGTGAAAGTTTCTTTTTCGGGCCACCCTGCCTTGGTGGGAATCGACCAGTGTGATAATAAAATATTCAAGGTACTTCTCAACTTGAAACCAATTAAAATCATATTTATTTTTGTAGTATATCTTCCATTCTATCACATGAGACCAACAAAAAGAGAATACAACCATAAAAATCATACGAAAATATGCCGCTAAGGGGAGGCTAATGGCTGAGAAGTGAACTCCATTATTTATGGTCCGATTTCTTTCATTTTTGGTGTATGTTAAGAAGCGTCTTTTCATCATACATTGCCCAAGTTTCAATGAGAGAGTTCAACAAACAACTGAGATCCAGTTCCCTAGATCAAGAGCAGGAACCCCCTCACCAGTGTCAATTAACCTCCCTTGAGGCCTGCTCACATCTGGAAATTTTGCTCGCATCTGGAAGCAAAAAATCGACCGAGCAGCTGCTCGTATCTGGAAAAACTCGCACATGGATGCGCTCGTAAGTAGAGGTTCCACTGTAATTGTTGTTCCTATATTTCTTATGGGAAAATTCATTTGATATACATCCTGTTTGGTATAAGTTCAAAGTCCTGGAACGGATTAAGGAGGTATAACGAGGTACCTCTGTATTCTCTAAAAACCTTGGCTAAGAGTTCCTTATGAAGTTCAAATTATGTCAGATACTGTAGTACCTTGATGTTATTTTTCATGCTTGTACTTGCTGAAAAGATATTTTCATTTTTATGTAGGAGACCAAAACAAGAAACCAGAGGAGCCGCCTGCCAAACTTTTGGATGACTTATTCCGCAAAACTAAAGCACAGCCAGCGATATACTGGCTTCCCCTAACTGCTGAGCAGGTGAGTTATGGCTTTACATTCTTAGAGATTGAGCAGGACCTGCAAATGAGTTTTCCAGAAATCTAGGGCAATATTTTCTAGAAAAAAGAGGGAGAAGACAGGCCAGGGCACTGGGAGTCGAGATAGTCATAGTCATCTTATGACGTGTTTTCTTTGAAGATGAGGTAATAACACTTGACAATGTACTGGGAGAGGCAAGTATCTGTAGAAAGTCTTAGTTTTCATTTTCCAATTTATGGGTTAGAAGTGCAATGTTCTGGTTGTTATACTTTTATTCTTCATCAGTGACTTAGTGCAGCCCTTTGAAGAAGGCCTCCAAGAACACTAGTCATTTGTAGAATTGTGAGTGTCTTGTTATATAACGCAGTTGTTTGGAACACATTATTTTTGTTAAATTTGTTAACAGATTGCTGAGAAGGAAGCACAACGTCGGCAGAAAATGGCTGAACTGGAGCGACGCCAGGCGGAGGTGAGAGCAGCTAGGGAGAAGGAACATGAAGAGTGGGAGCGGTTAAGAGCTGAACGCAAGAAGGAACGGGAGAGAGAGAGAGAACGAGAGAAGGAGAAGGAGAAGGAAAGGGAAAAGGAGAGGGAGAAGGAAAGGGAAAAGGAGAGAGAGAAAGAAAAGGAGAAGAATGCACGCAAATCCCGATCAAAGTCTAGGTCTCGTCGGAGAAGTAGATCACCTCGAAGATCACCAAGAAGATCGCCTCGTAGGTCCCCGCGCAGGTCACCCAGACGATCGTCTGTGAAGAGGTCACCCAAGAGATCCCCTAAAAGGTCTCCAGGGAAATCTCCAAGAAGGTATTTGTGTTTTTTTTTTTTTTGTACACTACACTAAGTATGCAATGTATTTATAGTGGGTTCTTATCAAAACTACATGTGGTGACACCTTAACCATGCAGAAAGCTATCTGGTTAGACAAACTACATTTTTTATTCCATTGCTGGTTCCAACCAAGATGAGGGACTCACAGATGTAAACTCTTGAAATATAACTTTTTTTAGTAGCAGTCTTACCAGATAATGTCTATACATTTCTATATTTGAACCATTAAATAAAAGGCAAATTGGTTGTTTTTTGTCATTTGAGTGCCATAGTTATCCCTAGTTGGTTTCGTAGATGATTGAAGACGTGTCAGTAAAGAACTGTACATACACAACATTTGTACATTATTACTTATTGGCCATATGTTTTGAATTATAAAATAAATTTTTCATTGTAGCATAATTGGACAAAGTTCTGAATCAGTAGACTTGGTATGCTGATTCAGACTACTGTGGGTACTGTGACTACTATAGTTACTGTAACCTGTACTAGTACAGTACTGTATAGTCATTTTTTTTTTCTAAACACGGCAGCTGTTTCCCACCAAGTCAGGGTGACCCAGAAGAAAGAAAGTAAAAACTTTAATTTTCATTCAACACTTTCACCATCCCTCATACATAATCACTCTCTTTGCAGAGGCACCCAGATACGACAGTTTAGATAGTCTCTCCAAACTGACAATATCCCAAAGCTGTCCTTTAAAGTGCAGGCATTGTACTTCCCATTTCCAGGACCCAAGTCCAGCTAACTGGTTTCCCTGAATCCCTTCACAAAATATTACCCTGCTCACACTCCAACAGCTTGTCAGGTCCCAGAAACCACTTGTCTCCATTCACTCCTATCTAACACGGTCGTGCATGCTTTCTGGAAGTCCAAGCCCTTTGCCCATAAAACCTCCTTTACCCCCCTACAACCTTTTCGGGGACGACCTGTACCGCACCTTCCTTACCCTACAGATTTTTACATGTTCCAATTTTTAGTAATTTTACTTACCCTCTTTGTGGTGGATAGATGGTGTAAAATGCTGTGAGGAGTAGTGTTGACTCAGTAGATTTCATTCTGAGTCAAAGGAACTGTAATGCTGTACTAGTGAAAATGTTGATGGCAGAGATGAACATATCAAGAGATTGTTTTAACACTACATTCCTCACATAACTGTGCAACTGAGGCGACAGACTTGACCTTTATTAGTTCAAAATTCTGCTTAATACTGAGAACCACACATTTCCTCTTGGTGCCACCACTTGCTTTAGAAGCCATTGTTAATTGCACCTTACCTAATATGATGATAAATTGGCACAAAACACTGTCAATCCATGAAAAATTGGAGACCAAATGATGAGTGAGTGAAGCATGAACGAGCAGTGACATGGGCAGCCTATGGCTTAGGAACAATAAAAAACAGACAGGTGCTGGATAAGGACGTTTTTGGCCTGTACTGGACAAACATCCAAATTGTTGAACTTTTTTTCCATTTTGATCATTTATTTGAAAGTTTGTCTGGCTAATTCTTTTGTTTGTAATTTCAAAAACAATTAAATGAGGGTCTGTTAATTAGAAGTTTTACTGTATTGATAATTAAACAAAACAATGACTGGTTGCACTAATAAACATTTTTAAGGCATTCCTGGTACTAAAATAACATTTCTTCTGCTCATTGGTTACATTTCCAGGCTCTACATAATAATTACATTTTGATATTTTATTCATACACAATTTTAATCAACACAAAAAACTGAAGGTTTACTGTTGTGCAATATCATTATACGTAATTGTATAAATAATATCAGCGCATTCATGAGTGCATATTGGACCTACCAGTTGACGTGTATTGGATGCGTGACGTGATTTGTTTGCTCATGAACATCAGCAAAAATCGAACATTTCAGCTACGTTAAGCTCAATTTTCAGTCCTAAAATCAATTGAAATCATCTCTACTTCTGTAATATATCTTCCATTCTATCAAATGAGACCAAGAATCGAAGAACACGATAATAAAAATTACACGAAAATACACTGCAAAATTGCCGTTTTTATGGACGCAGCAAAATTTGCGAAAGTGTAATTTTGTCAATTTTCCATCAAATTTCATACTTTGTTTTATCTTCAGAAAAAGATTCTCTTCCATTTCATAAGAAAAAAAAAAAATTTTTTTTTTAATTCCTGGACAGTGTAGATAAGTTTCAGGTCTGGGGTCGGAACAGTGAAAGGGTTAAACTCGGTGACCAAAGTATGTCGATGGCAATAAGTACATTATTACTGCTACTACTACTAATAATAATAACAATCACTCTGGTGCGCTTTAAATGTCGCACATTATGTTATAAATAAAAAAGAAAGGCACAATACTGTGACTGGAACAATACACAAATAACCTGCACATAGAAGGGAAGAGCTTACAATGACATTTCAGTCCGACTTGGACCATTTACAAAGTCACTCATTAAGACTACAAATATTTTAAGGTAAGTAATGAATGTACTGTGCTTGTATTTTACTTTTTATTGTGTTTTTTAATGCCTAGTTCTATTACAAACTTAATATAAGTTACTGTAAACTTGACAACCCTATGCCTGTTGTGAAATCTATTGTGGCTTTGGGGGAGTCCATGGGTTTGGATGTGAGTGGCCAGGATGTGGAAGAGTTGGTGGACAACCACAGGGAAGAGCTGCAACACTATACAGTGGTCCCACAATAATCGTCCGGCCTGAAAGTCGTCCATTTCAGAAATAGTCCTGTTATTTCGTCTAAACATTGGCTCGCAAATGGTCCGGTAACTCGCTAATAGTCCTTCGTCCGGGACGCATACTCACGCTCTGAGCCGCCTCGGCCTCTCTTCCCAGCCAGTGTGCCATTGTTTACCAGTGAGCGATGGTCCCCTCACTTGCTCCAACGAAATATTTCATAATATTCCATTGATTTTAGTGCTTGCAAGTGCTAAATAAGCTACCATGGCTCCAAAGAAAGCTCCTAGTGCCAAGCCTTTGGTAAAGAAGGTGAGAATTACGATTGAATTTAAGAGAAACATCATTGAACAATATGATAGTGGCGTACATGTGGGCGAACTGGCCAGGATGTATAACAAATCCTGTACAACCATATCTCCATCATAGCCAAGAAAAAGGAAATCAAGGATGCTGTTGTTGCAAAGGGGGTAAATATTCTGACAAAAATGAGATCACCAGTACTCAAAGATGTTGAGAAGTTATTATTGGTGTGGATAAACGAGAAACAATTACCAGGAGATAGTCTTATGACGTCGCTTATTTGTGAAAAGGCTAGGCAGTTGCATGACGATTTGGTAAAGAAATTGCCTGCAACTAGTGGTGATGTGAGTCAATTTAAGGCCAGCAAAGGCTGGTTTGAGAGATTTAAGAAGCGTACTGGCATACACAGTGTGGTAAGGCATGGTGAGGCTGCCAGTTCTGACAACAAAGCGGCTGAAAAATATGTGCATGAATTCAAGGAGTACATAAGCAGTGAAGGACTGAAACCTGAAAAAGTGTTCAATTGTGATGAAACAGGCCTCTTTTGGAAGAAAATGCCAAAGAGGACCTACATTACTCAGGAAGAAAAGGCACTGCTAGGACACAAGCCTATGAAAGACAGGCTGACGCTAATGTTCTGTGCTAATGCTAGTGGGGAATTCAAAGTGAAGCCGTTACTAGTGTACCACTCTGAAAATCCCAGAGTGTTCAAGAAAAACAATATTATGAAGAGTAAATTGTGTGTGTTTTGGAGATCTAATAGTAAGGCATGGGTCACGAGGGACATTTTCATTGAGTGGTTCAATGAAGTGTTTGGCCCTAGTGTGAAGAATTACCTCCTGGAAAAAAAAATTGGATCTCAAGTGCCTCCTAGTAATGGACAATGCACCTGTTCATCCTCCAAACTTGGATGACCTAATTCTGAAGGAGTTTGGGTTCATCACAGTAAAGTTCTTGCCCCCGAATACCACTCCTCTCCTCCAGCCCATGGACCAGCAAGTCATTTCAAACTTTAAAAAAAACTACACCAAAGCAATGTTTGAAAGGTGCTTGAATGTGACCTCAGACACTCACTTGCCCTACGAGATTTTTGGAAAGAACACTTCAGTATTCTCCATTGCGTAAGCCTTATAGGTAAGGCTTGGGAGGGAGTGACTACCAGGACTTTGAACTCTGCTTGGAGAAAATTGTGGCCAGATTGTGTCCACAAGAGGGATTTTGAAGGGTTTGAGGCAGCCCATGATGAGCCTATGTCAGTTGTGAACTCGATTGTCGCACTGGGGAGTTCCATGGGGTTGGATGTGAGTTTGGAGGATGTGGAAGAGTTGGTGGAGGACCACAACGAAGAGCTAACCACTGAGGAGATGCAAGATCTTCAGCAGGAAGAGCAACAGATTGCAGCTCAGAATCTTGCTGCAGAGGAGGAGGAAGAGAGATGGAAGAAGGTGCCTTCTTCAGAAATTAATTAGATTTTTGAAATGTGGGGTAGGATGGAAAAATTTATGGAGAAACCTCACCCAGAGAAGGATGTTGCAAGCCATATCAGCAACTTGTACAGTGACAGAGTCTTGGCCCATTTTAGGGAAGTTTTAAAGAGACGCCAGAAACAGCTCTCTGGACAGTTTTTTTTGCGAGACAGGACTCCAGTGACTCTCAAGGTGGTCCTAGTGGCATTAAGAAACAGAGAAGAGAAGTAACCCCAGAAAAGCAATTGTACCCGAGGTGTTGATGGAAGGGGATTACCCTTCCAAACAGTAAATAATCCAATCTGTCTCCTTCTCCAGTCTTCCATACACAAAGAAGAATTGCCAATAAAGGTAAGTGTTATTCTGTTAATGTTTAATTCATCATGTGCCACTGTATTGTTTATGTACTACATCTATATTTCATGTAAAATAAATTTTTGTTTTAATACTTCTGGGTGTCAGGAACGAATTAATTGCATTTACATTATTTCTTATGGGGAAAATTGATTCGAAAGTCATCCATTTTTATAATAGTCCCACTTCCAGGAACGGATTAAGGACGATAATTGAGGGACCACTGTAGTTACTCTCTATAAAATGCATTTTTGGTTGATATTTTTGGGTGTCTGGAATGGACTAATTGGATTTACATTACAATATTTCTTTTGGGAAATATTACTTAGGTTTTCATTCATTGTGGGTTTTGACTGACGTGGAACGGATTAAGGACGAAAACTGAGGGTCCACTGTATAGACATAGTAAAATAAATACATAATTGCCAGGTGTGGAAGCTGGGTGGGCTACTACACCTGGGTTCCTACAATAAATACTACTGTACTTACCTCTCACCCTACATACAAACTACAAATATTTTAACCCTTTGACTGTCGCAACCCCCAATCCTGAGCTGTCTCCTCATGTCGCAAAATTTAAAAAAAAATTAATAATTTTTTTCTTATGAAATGATAGAGAATCTTTTCCCGATTGTAATGACCAAAAAAAAAAAAAAAAAAAACGAAATTTGATGGAAAACTGACGGAATTACACTCGTGAAGTTATCGACCTCAACGATATTTACAAATCGGCGATTTTGCCCACTTTAAACCCTGTTTTTGGCTTATTCCATTGTTCCAGTCAACCTAACTCATAGCTATTTCTTTAGAACTCCATTTTTTCTATAGACTGAGTACAAGAAACTGCCCATTTACAGATTTCAACTACCCAATAACATAGTCAGAAATTTGCAATTTGGCCAATTTCACGAAAATTAAAAAATATGACAATTTCAAAATAAGGTCCAGAATGAACAATGCAGACATTCCTGGCTCTAAAATAACATTTTCTTTGTTCATCAGTCACATCTCCAGGCCCCTCTGATATTACTCTTGCTTTCTATTTTGAATTTCTATTCAAACAAAAAATAGAAGATTTACTGTTATGCAGACTACTGCAATACTGTAATAATTGTACAAATAATGTCAACCCATTCATGACTGCATATTAGAATGGTTAGTTAGACATTTATTGGACAATGACATAATTTGTTTACTTTTGAACATCGGCAAAAATCAAGCATTTACCCTACTTTGAGCTCGATTTCCAGGTTCTTTTTATAGTAAAACCAATCAAAATCACCTCTATTTCTATAACATATTTTCCATTCTGTCAAACGAGACCAAGAAAACGAAAATACAACCATAAATACTATACAAAAATAGACAAAAAATTCGGCATTTTAATTAAAAAAAAAACGGTCGGAGTTTTTTTTTTTTGTCTCATGCACTGCGTGCTCCAGGATTTTTTCGGTATGGTGCACACTGACCACACAGACCCATTCTCTCACATGTGGGCCTACCAGCTTTCTCCTGCTTGATTGAAAGCCGCTAAAATTTACTAGTATATATACGTCAAACACGGTACCTCGTAAGACGTATATATAAGACCAAAACAGTCAAAGTGTTAAGTAATGAGTGTACAGTATGTGCATTTTACCTTTTTTTTATGCCTAGGTATTGCTAACTTAATATATGTTAGTGCAAACGTTATGAAGCATTTGACTCACGAAATCGTAATGACACGATTGCAAACAAACCATACCATGGGCGGGATTTGAACCCATGGTCAGAGAGTCTCAAAACTCCTGACCGTCGCGTTAGCCACTGGACCAGCTAGCCACAATAAGATTCATCCAACTAGGTATATTTCTACACCATAGGAAGGTTAGCATAGGCACCACTGTGACCACAAATGCAAGTTTTTACAGACGAATCTCCAGCTAGCGTGGCCGTGACTAACTCTAGCTCAAGTCCCCTCACTGCCGTCAACATGACTCACGAAATCGCAATGACACAATTGCAAACAAACCATACCATGGGCGGAATTTGAACCCTCAGTCAGAGAGTTTCAAAACTCCAGACCGTCATGTTAGCCACTGGACCAGCTAGGCACAATAAGATTCGTCCAACTAGGTATATTTCTACACCATAGGAAGGTTAGCATAGGTACCACTGTGACCACAAATGCAAGTTTTTACAGACAAATCTCCAGCTAGCGTGGCCGTGATGAACTCTAGCTCAAGTCCCCTCACTGCCGTCACGGCCACGCTAGCTGGAGATTCGTCTGTAAAAACTTGCATTTGTGGTCACAGTGGTGCCTATGCTAACCTTCCTATGGTGTAGAAATATACCTAGTTGGACGAATCTTATTGTGGCTAGCTGGTCCAGTGGCTAATGCGACGGTGTGGAGTTTTGAGACTCTGACCGCGGGTTCAAATCCCGCCCGTGGTATGGTTTATTAAGCATTTATATGCATTTAAAAGTAAAAAAAAAAAAAAAAAAGTGATTTGCTTTACGGCAGTTTCCAGTTTAACCCTTTGAGTGTCTGTCCTGTAGTTCTTCGGCTTTGAAGCCAGGGTCCAAGCCGTAGTACTGCATCATCAGCTCAGCTCACTCAGATAAGCTCTGAGTGGTAAATTTGGTCCTAGATATGAGAGAATGCATCTATGTGGTAAGTGTGCATCGCATAAAACAAATCCTGCAGCTCGCAGTTCATAATGAGAGAAAAAAAAAAAGCAACCGTGTTTTTGGATTAAAACTGTGACTTTGCAGTGTATTTGATAGAATGAAATCTATATTACAGAAATAGAGATGATTTTGATTGGTTTTAGTACTGAAAATACGTAGCTTGAAATTGAGCTCTAAAGTAGCGGAAATGTTGGATTTTTTGCCTATGTTCAAGAGTAAACAAATGACATGATGCATCCAATGGAATTCATCTATAAAGCCTGAAACATAACTGATAACAGAGGAAATGTTATTTTAGTACCAGGAATGCCTGCATTGTTTATTCTGTACCCTATTTTGAATTTGGAATATTTTGAACTTTGTGTGAAGCAGTTGATTGAGCAGTTTCTTGTGCTCACTCGATAAAATAGAAGTGATACTAGTGAAATAGCTAAGAATTTGGTTGACTGGAATAATGTAATTGGTCTAAAATAGGAGTCAAAGTGGGTAGTCACTGATGCGTAAATGTTATTGATGCAGTAAAATTCATGTGTAATTTCGTCAGTTTTCCATCAAATTTCATACTTTTTGTTTTACTACCTTCAGAAAAAGATTCTTTACTATTTCATAAGAAATAAAAAATTTTTTGAAAATTCTTGGACCCTGTGGACAAGATGTAGAACTATGGGATGAACTCTCAAAGGGTTAAGGCAGTAGCCTGGAACCTAACCTGCCATATAAGTGGTGCCCTCCTGTAGTTAAGTGTGTTCAAATTATGTAATATATCAATTGAAGATTATATAGTAGAAAAATAAGTCACAGTAGTGGCTAGAACAGATCACAACTATCCTCTGGTGTTGTGTTGGTTACATTCCTAAATGTATTGGATTTGTAGGGATGATTTGAATTTAAAAGCTAATGTAGTTTTGAATAAAAATTTATTTTGTATGGCACTGTTGTGTAGGAAGTTTGCAGCAGAATTGGTAAGTTTTAAAAATTCCTAAGAACAGATGCACCCCCTAAGTTGTACTATAAATATTGTTTTACATCTTATGACTTAATAATGTTGACATTGACAATTGACTGGGTACTTATGGCAGTCTGAAACTTTAGTTTTTTCGAAGGTGATACATTGCACAAATAACCTGCTTTTAGGAGAGGAAATTTAAGATGGTTTCGACATGTGCTAGTTCTTTGTCGAATCACAACTAAGTTAACAACAACAAAAAAAAAAAAAATAGGAATGGAGGTGGGAGGGGAAGAAGGTATTACAGTAGTAGAAGCAGCAGCAGTGGTGGCAGTAGTAGTGGTAATGGTAGCTGTGCTAGAAGTAATAGTAGTAGCAGTGGTATATAAAATGCTACCTTCAGTATAAGGAGCAGCAGATTTCAAGGAAACTTGTGTAAAATGGGTTGTATCCACTTAAATGGCACATATATGTAAAAGAGTTTTTACATGTTGATAGTGAATATAGGAACTTGCTTAGTACAAAAATAATTATTTTTTTAAATGCTTGCAGTAATCCAGCAATCATCCCATATTCATGTTTAACTCCTTACATATTACTGTGTATAATGGTTTTGTTTCCATGTTTTATTAGCTCAGCTTTGGTCTCCTAATCTGTTATAAGATTTCATATAATTTTCCTTCTCTACTGTTCCTTTTTGGCCTACAGAATTTCTAGTCTTTCTTTCCTTCATTATTTTTTTTTTTTTTTGTGCCTACTGGCATAGTTATCCTTCCACCTTAGGAAAATTAATGTTTTTCAGTCATGTTTATCATCATTCATCTTTCAACAAATCAGCTGTATCCCACCGAGGCAGGGTGGGCCAAAAAGAAAAAAAAGTTTCTCTTTATAACTTTAGTAATGTATACAGGAGAAGGGGTTACTAGCCCCTTGCTCCTGGCATTATAGTTGCTTCTTATGACATGCATGGGTTGCGGAGGAAGAATTCTGTTCCACTTCCCCATGGAGATAAAAGGAAATAAACAAGAACAAGTAAGAAAATAAAAGAAAACTGAGAGGGGTGTATGTAAATACGCTTTTACATGCATGTGTAGTGTGATCTAAGTGTAGAAGTAGCAAGATGTACTTGAAATCTTGCATGTTTATGAGACAAAAAAACACACACCAACAATCCTACCATCATGTAAAACAAGTACAGGATTTTGTTTTACACTTGTTTGGCAGGACAGTAGCACCTCCCTGGGCAGTTGCTGTCTACTAACCTACTACCTACAAGTCTGTATATGTATAGTCAGATTATCTTTCTTCACTGTTCTTTATAGTGCTAATATATTTTAACTGGCATTACATAACAGTAACTAAACCTTTTTCATTAGATCACCGCAGCGGCAACGGCGGTCACCTAGTAGGGAATCTCGCAGATCCAGGCGAAGAAGTCGCAGTCGCTCTCGATCCCGCAGCTGATTCCATTGTGGCATTTAATGAGGGGAGTCAATGACCTAGTGGAGGGCAACAAGAAGCATGTAATATCCAGATTGCTGAAAGCAGTGTAGCATGAGGAGAGCTTGCTCAGCACCATGGAAGTAAAAATATAACTTGAACATCAACGCTTCAGCTACATCACACCAGCCCCTCGCTACTCCCAAGGTTACTGTTACATCCGTCTGTGCTCTCTCCCCTCCAACGTCCACTTCCCTAACTTCATCCTGCCGTCCTTCCTACATGCCTGTTCTCTCCCTTCTACAGGTATCCCCATGCAATGCTCTTCTGATGTTAGGCTTAGCTCTCTCTCTCTTCTCTCTCTCTTTTCAGCAAGTCGTTGACAGATTTCAGTTAGAAATAAAAATTATAGGGGGTTGTGTTGAATGTCACTAATTTTCAATTGCTGATGATTTACCTTGTTTTCTGAGCAAGTACTGTAGGGCATCTCATCAGCTTTTTCTATTAGGTAAGTATATTTTATGTATTTTACCTTTGATTAGTTAATAGGATATTTAGGGTAGATGATGCTTATTTTTGTTTTATTTATATATCAGAAGAGCATTGGGTGGTAAGGGAAGTGTTGAAAACGTTATTGGTGAAGAGATCCACTGCGCTGTATGGGCGGGCAACAACGATGATTCTCCGAGTATCAGCGGGAACTTCGATGACCATCTTTAGAGACCGGCGTATGTCTTAATGCTTCCTCATGGAATGCCTTAATCTCCAAAGCTGCATAGCTCTATACTATGGCTCAAGTTGCCAAAACTTATAGGAGATGGCTGTTATCTTCTGTGAGTACACACATGCCAGTGATCGTGATTGGATTGTACCTGTGTCTGTTAAAAAGAAACTATTTATGCAATGATGTGGTATTACCCTTTGTAGTACTACAAAACAGTAGTGCAACAGAACACTGAAAGCCAGTGTCTTAAAGTGTATGATAGTGGGAATTGTGATATATCTCCCCATCCGAACTTCTATTTATAAATATGACACTGCTGAGGCAGACTTAGTGATATAAATAAAAGGCTGGGTTTGTTGACTATTTTCACATAATATTGCACCAGATTGTGGTAGAAGAAACATATCCAGGCAGGAAAAATGCCTTGTGCAAATGTGAATTGAACTAGAATTGTGCAGTAGTTTGCATTTACAATTGATGTTTCTCTGTACAGAGGAACTTTACCCTGAGTGTGAGGAGTACAAAATTCTTAAATTATTTGCAAACCCGTCTGATAAGTATATGTTAATGCATATATTATGTATGGTGTTATAACCAGTTTTCCCACGTGTATTTAATATATGTATTATTTGAATGAATGTGCTTAAGTTTTTTTTATAAAGTATTTTGATGTTTAAACATTGAGTTTATGCACTAGGTTTTTATTGTTTGTCAAATTGATATCTTCATTTGTGATGACTTTTGGGTGATTCTTTATAATTGAAAGTCATTAAAATTACACCCTTTAAATTTGTCTCTCTTGATACCAGAATTTTTTGTTGCTAAAGAATGTGAAGGTTAAATTGTTTCTGGGTTAATACCACAAGATTACTTAACCTCTTTCACTGTCTCGTATGTAGATCTATGTCAAGATGCCACGTGTTGCAGTGTCTGACAAGATGAACATCAAAATGGTATACAATACCGACAGGTTGTTTGGTAAGACACATATGCAACAGTTAGACAACTTTATTCCGAAACGTTTCGCCTAACATAGCTTTTTCA